ACCATTCGCTAGCTAGCTAGCAGGTTAGTACCATTACGCATTGAACACATGGATATAAATGATCGATTGTTCAAAATGAAAATTTGCTTACCTTCGGTGGTGATTTGTTACAGCCCCATTGAATCACTGAGACAAATTTGTTTCTGCTTTGGTGTAAATGATGGCTGAATGAAGATTATATATTGCGCTTGTGACATCAGATAACTTTTAACAGCAAGAAGAAAATCTGAGATGATCATTTGCTGACAACTATTCTGGCGACAACATTGAGATATGTACTACGAGTTTGATGATAAATTGTATAATCAAAAGGTGTTGAATACTATGGTTAAGCGGACCACTGAGAACAGAGCAGTGAGAAATGTCAGAACAGAACTGCAAATCCAACTGGATTTTCAAGTTATTTAGTTATTAGCAGTTTTGGGACACCATAATCAGGACATTCCCTTACGACTTACATGTGTTGAAGCTGTGGTGTTGGTTAAGCCTAAGAGTGTGTCAGCCACATGCAGTAAAACATTGGATTATGTGCTTCTCCACTTAGTAATGTTGAGTGCTAATAAGGGGAACACATCTACTCTGGTGGGAATGATGCGACAAATCTCAATTGTCAAGTTTATGCTGCAACTGAGTGTATGTAACCATACAAATAAATACAAGCATCTCAGCTTGAGGAAATACCAGACGTTTGAATCAACATGAAATGTACTCATTAGCCTATGACCAGTGCCGGTCCTGAGTTTCATGGCGCCTAAAGCGCAACCATAAGATGATGCCCTCTAACAAAATACAGTTTTTCTTTTGAATTTTTTTACCCAAAAAATTACTTTTCACAATACTGAAAAGTTCATTTGAAAAACTTACAGTTTAATTATTAGCTGAGTTCTTATTTGTTTTCAGAAGCACTTTTTTTGTAGATGGGTGAAAGATTAGAATAACTTCACAATTACTTAATGTGGAAAAGAGCAATACCTAATTGGTTAACATAAGACATGTCACTCTGGAAATCTGTTTTGTTTGTAAGTTTTATCGAATCTTTCATTGTCAAAGCCTGAGAGAGTCCAAGGGAAATTATTTAGACCCAACTATGAATTTTATGTTTGTTCTTTGTTTTTAAGATACAGACAAGAAAACAGTTTGAGTGAAAATGAAGATAATTAGTAGAAGAAGAAAAAACACACATGAATAAGAAAATAAAATGGTGAAGATCAACCATGCAAGAAGAGAATCTAATGGAAATTATTGAAACTACAAAGAATAACAAATGAAAAAGGGGAAAGATATATCATATGCGGTACATTGCTACTATTTAGAAATAGAAATTAGATTTTGAATATGATTTGTTTATAGACTTATAGCATTTGATAAAATATATAAAAATGGAAACTGAGATTGCTAATAAAGGAAACAAAAACTGTCAGATTTTTCAGTTATTACAAATAAAAATAGAAAGGAAAAAAAAGATTTGAACCTCCGTCTGCGTTCAAATCTGTTTTTGGGAGGCCATGAACGTCCGTCGCGGTAGCAAAGTTATGGGATTGGATTTATGTACCTCTGCCTGCGTTCATAACTAAAATATTTTTTTTTTAAATCTTAGGATAAAGTGTAGATGCGACAGTGTAATTGATTGTCTGAACCAATCTTAAATGAGTCAAATAACTATCTTTACAGAGATTTGGTTAGTGATTTAATAAATATATCAAACCTGATCTTAATGCTTGTATTAACTGATTGAATTCACAAAGAGATTTGTAATTCTAGACATAGATAGTCTCTACAATGAAAGTTGATAGATTTGATTGTTGTGATTTGGGTTCAAGAATTGTTCTTCAAACACTTAACGTCTATTAGCCAACTCTGATTTGCCTGTAGATTTCTCTTGTCTTGAGTTATCTCCTATGAGATTCATTTATATCTCCTCGCCATTCTTCTTGCGTAAGGACACCATTGCGCTGAGTAGCTCTGTACTTCTTAACATGCTCAAGATGAAAAGATGCTTCAGCTCGATGAAGATAGAGCATGATGCAGGACCACCCATTGATCTTTTCTCTCGAGTGTCGATCGTACAGCTTTTCGTTTCGTCTCAATCGGACTTTCCGTTGAGATTTTACGACAGAAACAAGTCAGCTTGACGAATCGAGGCTGTCCGCACCAGCTCGCCAGTTGGCGAGCTGAAAGGGCTCATCCAGCTCGCCCAAGGGCGAGCTGGACCATTCCTCAAGTTTCTCTCTCGAGTCTCGATCGTACAGCTTTTCGTTTCGTCTCATTGGACTTTCCGTTGAGATTTTACGACGGAAACAAGTCAGCTTAACGAATCGAGACTGTCCGCAGCAGCTCGCCAGTTGGCAAGCTGAAAGCGCTCATCCAGATCGCCCAATGGCGAGATGTACCACTCCTCGAGCCTCTCTCTCGAGTCTCGATCACGCTGATTTTAGTTTCCTCTCAATCGGAGTTTCCCTTGAGATTTTATGATAAAAACCGCAAAAACTTGCTTTTTCGTATAAGTTCGAATCGATCGTCTAAAACGGTAACGGTTGACTCAACACCAAAGTGTCCTAAACTATACAAGAGATTTGAACTCTCTAAACGCAATCCGGTTTTACGAAATTCTGCCACGTTAAGTCGAAAACATCTAATCATAAACGTATGATGGATTTTTCAACAGTATATGAAGCACACCTAGTCAGTTATGTAAAACCGCAGTACGAAGAAACAAGAACATAAATTCCGATGTTGAAATCCCTTCCCGATATTATTGTTGATATTTCGTCAAAGAACGATTCATACGAAGATAAGTCAAAAGACGAAGAACGAAGAATAGGTAGTCCCAAATCATCGATGAAACTAAGGTATGTCTGATTCAAAAAATTTATTAGACTTTTAATTTCTCGTAGGCAAGGAATGAAAACGTCTTGTATACTGCCATAAAACCTAGATAACTTAGAATTTAGGGGGATAGTCTAGCATGCTAAGTCGTAAGCAATTTTTGTCTATCTCGATCTATTGTTCTTTAACTGTTCAGGCATAACTCGCAAACCGATCCAATCTCTCGTACAACTGAGAAACGATTGCCACGCATTCGAGCGTACTCATCTCATTTCCTAAAGAAAGAAGGAACTAGAGACACTGATGTCGTCTTAAAACCGACCCTTTCCAAAAAAATTCGTAAAACAGACATACTCCAAATCATCATCAATCCACCATGGTCTTTAATCGACCCAGATTGTCGATCATCCCAATCCTTCAAAAGAAATTCATATGTTTTCTTTCGTCTAAAAAAAACGGAGGGAGTAGCTGCGTATACTATACTCGTATACTCCCATATTTCAAAAAGAATTTTTCCTCGCATCCACAAAACGCTTTCTATAAAGAAAACTCTCGCAAAAATAGGCGGAAAATATTCGAACCATACGATGCCTCGTCAAATCATCCCAAAAGCAAATGACAATCTAAGATCTGTCTAAACGCTAAAGACTGATCCAAATCGTCTGGGAAATAATCTCGAGGACTATACAGCATCTCTCATCGCAATCATGCGTTTAGAAAACCTCTGCCAAACTTCAGAGTGAAACTCGATGAATTGCCGAAATCATAAAGATCTTTTCCAACTTGATAAAACAAGTTTCGTATAAGAATAAAAAAAATTATACAAGAAATCTTTAGGCATCAAAGCATTGCTCTCATTTTCGTCGAACCAAGTGAGTCAAGGAATAATATCAAGAACATTTTCGGCAAAAGAAAAATCAAGAACACAAGAAGCAGCAATAGGGAACACATTCTTCCTGCTCGCCGACTGATCCTATTGCTGGTCAAGTGATCCTATCCCGCTCAAGAAATACGCTAAAAAGTTTCGCGACTAGATCTTGGTGAAATAACCTTCAGTAAAACTCCTTGAGTGACTCCAAGAAACTATCACCGAAGAATCAGAAACAAAGCGGAAAGGTTTCACAAAAATTCGCGAAAGCACCGTTATTTTGACATCTCCATACGTCGCGTCAAATTCGTCGTCCGTTACTTATGCAAGAAATCCTTCGTATAGTTGAAGACCTCGACATACGAAGTAACTTTCGAATTAAATGTAACAGGTTTTGCGAAAAGCTATCTGGACACATCCTTCGGAAAATGGTTCAGGCATACTTTCTATATAGCAAAGCCATAAGATCCGACGCTGGACGACCAATCTAAACTTTGTTTCCTCTCACCACGATCTAAAAGATCTCATTATTTAGCCCTTCGGTTCACGAGCATCCACTCTCATTCCTCTCGATTACATCCAAGAATGAAACTACCCCGCAAACGACTCCGCACGGGATCTACATTGAGCTTCTTAGGCTCTGTCTCCCTCGGGTAAAAAAGAAACAACTTCCATACGAACAAAGGAAAGATTATACGAAACTTTTATCGTATAAATCGAACCTGAAATGGAAAAACGTTTTCTACGACCACGGGCATACTTGACATATCAATCTCGACAAACGCTACTTGGCCCTTGTCCGGTCACGCTTCACTTCAATGCCGAGTCCAAGTTTACAAACCGACTCGACCTTATTGATAGCACGAAAGTGTCGTGGTCTAATCCTCTACCAACTACGTCCTTGGCTATGCGGATGA